CAGGCTGTTCAGGCTGAAGGAGATGTATCTCTCCATGTTGTTGGGGATGCGCGTGAGGTTGCCGTCGACCAGCGATGGCCTGTATGATCAAGTGGGAGTCGTACCCTCTCAAGTTGTGGAAGACCACGGGGATGTTGATCGTTTTGGGTTGATTCTGAGCTTGAGGTTGCACGTGCTGTGAGCGGCACCTCTGTACTCCCCGGTGACATGGTAGTGATCTCTCACCGAATCGCCGTTCAGCGGACCGTTGCACACGTGGCAGTGAGTGCTGCAGCCGTGAGCTTCGCCGGTCGGCTTTGGGTCATACTGAATGGGAACGACGATTGTACAACCTCTTCCTGATGGCTTTCTCTTCCTCCTGCAAACACTTTAGAAACTTTTCAGCCGCGTCGGGACCCTGTAAGCGTTCGTTTCCCCATTCAGCGTATCCGAACCCACAGGCCTCGTGCTCGGCGCTGTACACCACGACAAGGGGAAGTCGGCGTAGATGATGTCCCAATCGGACATCTTGTGGTTGTCGATTTTAGGATATTGTCACCTTCCTTGGGCATGTCGAACGTATGGCCGTCTGCCCCACACCTGCAATACTCCGGTGGGATTTAATGTAGGGTGTTGGGTTCGCAGAAGTGACTCTTTTCTCGTGTGCCGATTGGTGTACAACAGCCTGCTGAAGTGACAAGTGGTACTTATCACCTCGCTGGATCATGAATATATTGATGTAAGGCGACCCTCCATTGGACTGACATCGATCGTTTTGTTGCCTTACCGTCTTGTGGCCGGCTATATTATTCTGTTTCTCTATTTTGGTGACCTGGGATATGGGGTTGCGTTCGTCTATACCAGCCCAGTTGAGCCCATCATTTTGGGGATAGCTAGGGCATGTTCGAATTAACGTTGGCTGGAAACAAGTATGATCCCGCTAACCTCATTCAATCGCCCCCCCTGTTTTTGATGTTGACCATGGCCTTTTTTTTCTTGTAGTAGGGGGGCAAGTCTAGGTACGATCCCCCCCTGAATGGTACGTAGTTAGCTATGTCTAGATAGAGTTTATCGATTTTATCTATGGCCCACCCGGAACCGCTGTGGGTGAAGCGTTCCAGGGTCTCTCGTATTTGTTGAAGACTGGTATCGATGGACTCGTCTATAGTCTCTGCATGAGTCACGACTTCTTGTTTACCCCGGAAGTAAGGCTGAACGTACTTAACAACACCATTCTGCTGTTTATCGAGTGACATCTTTGCCGTTATTTGAAACTTTAGACTTCCCAAATCGTTCAGTTCCTCATTAACTTTGTCAGCGATCAGCGGCTTGACGTCGCCAATGTCTATCTTCTTATCCACATGCATGCGCCAGCCTCTCAGATAGTTCAACTCTAGATCAACGATTCTGTGTTGATGTAACAGTTCAACGAGCTCAGGCTTCCTCATACGGGAATAACCTACTAACCCCAGCTCTCGGGCTTCCTGTTTGAGTTGTTTCACAGTGTGGGGACGTACGGGGTCGTGCAACAGCGCGACTAGCCCGGCTTTCCTCATACAGGAATAACCCGTCAACCCCAACTCTCTGGCTTGGTGTTTGAGTTGTTTCGCCGTGGGAGGGGGTTGTATGTCGAGTAATCTGAACAATTGGGGTCTCCTCATTCGGGAGTAACCCACTACACCTCGTTCTCTCGCAATCTGCTTGAGCTCTCGGACAGTAGGCATTGTTATACCCATGTGTTACAATCTCTAATTGGCCGCCAACAAGGGAGGTAACTCCTCCAACCTTAATCAAATCCCCCGCCCAGCGCTATATTTAGAATAACCGTATCAATTCTGGGTTCAGGATAGCTTTCCCGTTTTATTATTTCCAGAACGTTGCGGATTCACGTATATATATTAGCTGATTCAGTCAATACTTTTTCTCTGAAGACACCCAGCTTTGTAGTAACAATCATTTGAAAGTTGATGTGTCCCAATTCGTTTATTTCCTCTTCGAGTTTGCAAATGACCAGAGGTCTGATGTTATAAATACTACATTTACCCGGAAACATCAACCAGCTTCTCAGGCCAAAAGCCGGGGGTGGAATTCGAATGAATTGAATAGCAGGCATTATTATACCTAGGTGTACACAGTCTCTAATTGGGTAAGGGAGGTAACTCCTCCAGCTCTAAGTAAAAATAATGAGAGCTACACCTCCATACTAAGGAGGCGCCTACATTCGTTTATGTAGTCCTTTTTCTTCTCGTAGATAAGCTGGTGCCTGACTACGTTTGCCCCGTGGGCTTTACATAAACAGTAGTGACATTTCACTCCAATACCGCACACGGAACACGTGTAGTTTATGAAACACCTCCTATGAAAACAGCAGTACCCCTCCATCCTACATTTCCTACCGCAGGGCTCGGTCTTCCCCATAAGTATGTACTGGCATCGGTACGGGGCAGGTCTCATCTTTGGTATACTCATATGGGGACTTAGTTTATTTGCTTTACGATCAACGCAGTCACTGCTAGACCCAGCATGACGAAGGCCAGTTCTCGGTCCTTTTGCCCCGGGGATGGTGTGTAGTACTGAGCGAGTGTGGGTTCCTCGATTGGTTCGAGCTGTTTGCCGGTTAGTAGGTAGTATTCTCTCGCTGCGTCGTCGACATCATGGAACGTTTTAACGGCATGGTTCTCACGCTGGAGTCGTTCGTTAATGTAATTGAGCCTATATCGTGTCGTTTTCGTTCCGCCTCTATCTCGGCCGCGTTCGACTCGAGAAGAGGAAATTGCTCCAGGAAAATGCCAGAGCGTTTACTAACGCCCCGCCAACCATCATGGCGATCGTAGCCATCCTATATATAGTTACATTTACTTCAAAATATTTTCCGGTATGATCCCTTGTTTCACGAGGATGTCCTTGGTGGCCATCGCCATACCCAGGTTCATTATGAGCATTCCCATATCCTGCAGGTTGAAATCTAGCTTGATAGTCGGTTCTTTGAGCACCATTTTAGTCAAACGAGCGTACCCTATGGCTAGACTGGCGACCACGGTGGCGTGGTATGCATCGTTGACGAACGTTTTCCCCTCAGACATTATGTATATGATATAAAAATATATATTTATAACATGATATGTGGGTTGACCTCTAATTGTGGTTGTGGTGCTGGGGGTGGAGTGTTGGGTTGTGTATTATATAACATGAATAATGAGAGAGCCGCGGCGACAGTTGCGCCTGCAATCCACAGGAGTGGAGGGCTCCACATGTAGTTACTCTTGTGATGCTTGGTTAAACCTGCTTTTCTACCAGCGGCGACTCTCTTAGGGTTCTTCTTCCTGGTGACTGTAGGATTCTCCTACTGGGGAGGATTCTCCTCCTGGGGAGGGTTCCCCTCGTTCCCCTCCTGTGGAATTGGGCTCATTTCTTGGACAGCATCCATCTTGTATACCATTACTATTATTTTTTCCCTCCTTAAATTGGCAATGCTTTGCTGTGATGATCGCCGCCGTCACCGGGGCTAAAACCATACCGTATTTGTGGTACAGCACGCAGCTCACAGAGCTCAAGGCGTGTTCAATAAACGGGTCTTTCTAGAGGTCTTCCCACAGGTAAAGTCGACGCTCCGGGGGAATGGGAAGAAAGTACGACGCACTACCAGTGTAGATCTGGGTCATAGCCGATCCTATAGTTTTCATCATCTCGGCCCCGAGTCTAGCCTCATATCTTGCGTACAGCTTATCGATTTCTTCGGCTGACATTTTGTGAATTTTATCGGGAGTGTAGTCCCCAAAGTATTGTTTAGCTTTACGATTGTCGTCACTCTTATCATCCTGCGGCACCAACAGTTGTTCGAGCAGTTCATCACACTCCATCTTATAATGTAATAAGCAAGTTTTAGTTTTAATAATATAATACCCCATGCAGTTGAAACATAGCGAGATGAAGGTTAAGTTGCACACGATGAACACTTAAAAAAAAGTCATAACTATAACTGGTAAGTGCTAAACGCTTAGTTTTACTTAGCATTTGCTAAGCATTGCTAAGCTAAAACACCCTATAGGCCACGGGTTGGTCGGTCTTGAGCACGAGCTTAGCATGCTTAGTTTCAGCGAGCTGTTTCTTCACACGTTCTCGTTCTAGTCTGTTCATCACATCGTTCTCTCTCAAACACTCCTTGAACGAATCCCTGTCCTTGCAGTGGAATAAGGCCACCCATCGCATCTGCTCCCTAAAGGTCTTTCAACACCGAGTTGAACTTCTGCGTTAGCACCCAGACGCTGTGCTTTGCGTGCCGGCCGGAGAAGCCAGGTACGATAGCATGTCTCTCTTTTTTGTTATCTCTCGATTACTGCTGGAGTCGTCCAATATGAACAGCGTCGACTCCCCTTTAAATTTTCCGTGATAAACCTTCAACCAGTCCTGCAGACGTGTCCCCAGGTCGACTCTGTGTACGTCCGGGTCCGTCATCACCCAAGGTCTTTCTGTGTACGTTCTATTCATGTGCAAAGTAGGGCACATGATAACGATTTGTCAAACACATCCCGGTAGTACCCCTCCAGCATATCCAACACAAAAACGGGGTAGATCAATAGATGGCTTGCACGAATCTCCCATTGTCTATATTAAGTTGCGCGGCCATAATCATGTACAGATATAATTTCAACTTGCCTGCGGGTTGAGCCTTCTTGGTGATCTGGATGGTTATCCCCTCGCTGCCATTGTCGATGCGGCGACCGCTGCCGTGCAATTTATCGTCGTCCATGGATCACATGTTCAACAATAGCGCGTACTTGGTGGTTAGGTATTCCCCGATCTGCACAGAGGATAGGTCCAGGTCCTTGGCTATGTGTGGGTGTTGTTTGATAGCCGGTAGCTTTTTTATCTCATCCCACTGCTGGTATGCCCTCATACCATGGCTGAACAGCTGGTTGGGCACTCCCTCGATGGTCACTTCCACCTTTTCAATCTCGGGGTTGAAAAACTTCTCGCTGTCCCTTCGAAATGGCTCGTAATCCTCCACGGGGACGACCAGGATGCCTTTCATCGATCGTGTCGGCACGGATGAGAACGGCACGCTGCGATTGAAGGCTCACAGGGAGATCAATCTCGTAAACAAACGCACGAGAGAACCGCTTGCCTTATCAACACTCATCAATCGCCATGGTGGGCAACGGATCCGTGATGCACTAAACCTCATAGATTATTGGCCCAAGCTTCTCCCGAAGGCCGTCCAAGATCTGCAAGCAGCCAGGTCCGAACTCAACGATGAGCCCCAACGTGCCATCGATGAATTGTTGGCCACCTACCATAACAAACCCTTACCCGGGTTCAAATTTAACGTTCGGGAGCTGTGGGGGCTGGACAAGGCCATGCAAACCATTCGTGGGTCACTCGTGGACAACACTGCCAAACTGGACGCGATAGACGCCCACATCGCCCGTGAAAAGGCCAAACTCTGCGAAACGGAGGATGAGTCTCTGAAAGCCACCATCGAGGAACGAATACGTAAAATTTGGAAGAGGAAGGATGACCCGGCTGGAAACGGCGTCCTCCTTCCGAGAACAGCTTCGATCCCAGATCAGCCATGTGCGGGAAACCATTGATCGAGTCCTCTACCAGGACACCACGCTAGCTGACAGGATCCGAATCCTCTTCCGAGACCAAGGGATCACCATCGGCAGCATTCTGACGGCATTGGGCTTCATCATATCAACCCTGGTCGTGTCGCTGAGTGGGGGTACACCAAGTGGTGGTACACCCACCCCACCAAGCCCATCAGGCGATGTCAGAGACTGGGTAAAAAAACATCTGAAATCACTCGGCGAAGCTCTGGCTAAACTTGCTGGTAAGGCTGCCGAAGCCCTGCCCGGCATCCTGGGTATCATGGTCGTGGCTGCTCAGCACGCTGTCGAAAACAGTCACGTGGCTCGGTCAAAACCTGTGGGCAGCCGTCGTCGCCGTGGCCGGGCTGGTGTACGTAGCGGCTAAGGAATTTTTAATCAAAGGAGACCCAAACCGACCGCGATCCCGCCAACCACCAGCGCTGTTTTACGGTCGATGTGCTGCTGATTGGACGCCTGCACGTGTGGGGGTTGGGGCTGTCGGGGTGTGGGTTGAACCCTAGGCTCTGGGGGTGGCGCCACTATACCCGTCTCACCAGTCGTAGGGGGTGGGACGTGACTCACGTTGATGCCTGGTGTTGGCCAACTTTTGGTCGGCCGTGGCTACGATGATTTTGTTGTTGTAGCCCACCACTTTGTTGATTCTCAGTCGCATGTCGCTCGGAGCCATGTACAGTCCCACGTTGAACACGTAGTCGACTTTCGACCGAGCGTATTCCAACACGTCTTGGTAGTGTTGGATGGCACCCGGTAGATCGACCGGGGCAGCGATGGCATCCTCGACGTTGGACACGAACTGTTTCTGCGCGTCTAAAGCAGTACCCGTACCAATGATACCGGAGCAGCGTTTGATTCTGAGTGCCCAGCACGGTACACGCACGTTCGAATCGAGTCGTTTAAGCGTTCGATGCCGGCATGAGTAAACCCTCTCGACGTGTCCAGCATGAACTTTTTCCAGTCATCTGCGGGCCCCTGCTCGAACCTCCAGACTCGGTAATCCTTGCTGTCATCGAAAGCCATGTAACGGTCATCCTTCTCGTTTGTTGCGATGTGATGATACGACTTGTACCCCCATTCTTTCATCTTTTCGCTGGCTTCCACGAGGGGCGTGTTGTGAACGATAGGGATACCCAACCCGTGGTTCGGGCCCGGCAAACACCAATCCGTCTTCGGGTCTAGTTCGAATTCGTTGCAAATGCGTTCGTAGGCCCGTCTATCGTACGGGTTGTTTACTGCGTCCCATGCTTTGTCCTGTCCTGATCTCTTTGAGGATACGCCTGACCTGGTAGTACACGTGAAACGTGAACACAGACCTACCCAGCGGACCCGCCGAGTGTCACTCAAGGACAAGCCGCACCCCGTTGTAGCGCACCACACGGCGAAGTTGAGTTGATTCTGCCAGAACTGCATAGGGGTGTTGAACCAGGTGTGGACTACCTTAGCGTTAGTCACCGAAAACCTATACCTGTCAAACACATCTATAAACTGGGCTCTGAAATACAGCCAAGCCGTGACCACGATCTTCATGTGCGGGAAATCTATGTCCAGTTTAGGGTAAAACACTCCGGTTTGTACATTTTTAAAGTATTATATAATGGGTATATATACTCTAATATGTACGTGACACATCCAGGGATAACGAGCGATGAGTCAGTTCAGCTGATGCACGCGATCGATAACACGTCGGGCCAACTCGAAGACGCACTCTGCGATATCACCTACCTGCCGCGATGGACTAACATCAACGCCAGCAACAATAAGCTGTTCGTCAGTGGCGCCCGCAACCAGATAACTGACGGCTACTACAGCGTGTGCTCGCTTAGCGACGAGGTCTTCAAACCCTTGGGAGCTGAACTCAACGTAAACGACTCAAACGGCACAGTGGTGTTAACCAACAACGGAATAAACCCCTTGAGGCTCGGCCGACCATTGGAGAGGACACTCAGGATACCTCAGGACGAGATAAAACCCACAACTACTGTCACAGGCACGAAGTTACCCGACCTAGTACCGTACCGAGAGCTGTGCATTCATCTCGGTCAGCTGAGCACGACGGACAACATTCAAGGTGGCCACCCTTCCATGATACTGAGAGCCGTACCGGTGAAAACGGAGAAGTACAAAGACGGCAGAACCAAGTCGTTTTCATCGCGGCAGTACAAGATGTTAACTTGGGGCACTATCCCTGAGTTGGTAATGTCAGTGTTAGATATAAAGCATAATCCTGTGAATATAGGATACCTCAGCATAACGCTGCACATAAAATGACAAGCGCACAAGGTCCCGGAATGAAGTTGAAAAAATGCGTCAATGTGGGGATCTCCGACCTCGGGGACACGCGGGTTCGACGACCCCGGAGTAGATGGTAAACTATACGCCTTGCAGCTTAAAAACAGTATTTACAAACGCGTTGAAGTCCCCTCCATCTGTAGAACCCTAGGTGATATAGTAGATACCTCAGGAGCGGCCCTCAACACTCGGTCTGACCTAGTCCGCATCGGTGATGATAGATGGGCGGTATACCAATCGTTCGGAGGCAAACTGTTCGACTTAGAAGATGTTGAGAGAACGGCCGTTGTTAGAAACAAGCAGTATACCCTCGTCTTCACCGACGCCGACAAGTGGCTGTTGTTACCCGCTCAAGTCGACTGGTTTCTCAACATTAGTCTTGGCTCCCCCTACGTGTTCACGGAGAACAAAAACAACTACCTAAACAAAGTCGTGAACAACGGAACCCTGCTCGTGGCTTACATCCCGGCCCAGAGACGTAGTGTAATCATCAGCCCACTCTCCAGTATTGCAGCCCACATGCTGTCGAGCAAGCCCGGGATGCAAAACGTGGCATTGCAGGTGGTGTCTGAATTCGAAGGCGTGGTCAACATCCTGGAGAGTCTACCGGCGAACTCCACGCTGGTCATGCAAGTCGACCTAGGTGAACCACAGGGCGAAGTTGAAGTCGTGAAGGGGATCAAACTCCGGTGGGGAAACAACACCAGTATCAGGTTTGCACTGTTTACGTGCGGGTGGGTGTCGACTCCCACACCAATCTGCAGGGGGTCACCGTGACCGTGGAAGACACGATATCCTGCACTAAGATCTTCCTACCCGACAACATACACTTCATTGGGGTGAAGTGCACCCCTGAGAAATTATCAGAAAAACATTTGAACCTATCATCGACCCAACATCACGCTTAACGATCTAGGGGACACAGAGGGGTTCGATAATTCCCGGCGAGGAGGATGCCTTGTACGTCCTACACTTGAACGACAACGTGTATAGGCGGCGGCGATGGACGATCATCGACCCAACATCACACTCGGGGACCTAGGAGGCATAGAGGGATTCGATCAGCCCGGCGTGAACGGCACCTTGTACGCCCTGCGCTTAATAGGCGACGTGTACGTGCGGGTGCCTCTGGCAGACGACTTTAGAGAGCCCAAATGGTTGATCAACATGACCCTCACCACACCTTATATCTTGTTCCACAAAGGTAGGGGTGTCGCCGAAATTAAGAACGGTATCTTGCTCGGGGGTTTCATCCCCATGGGCTTTCAGAGTATAAGAGTTTCCCAAACACCAAATCGCCCGGGCTACGTTAAATACAACCAAGGATGCACCTTTAACATTTACATTATACGCTGGCCTACTACATTCAATGGTTATGCCCCCAGGCTCCACATTCATCATAGAATTCTTTTTCGGAGACGACATTGAGGGGGCTAGGGGGCGGGGTCCCCCCTGGCGCCTTTTACCTGGGGTGGAAATAAGATGGCCACATTCATCTTCATTTACGGACCACCATTGTCGTATCATCATACAATGGAGCTCGGACCCCTCACTGGGGTTGCTGCCCCCCTTAATAAGCAACCATATAGTTAGTATAGAACAAGAGTTACCTATTGACCTTTCCACTATTCACCTACACGAGAACGTAGGCCTTATAAGCCTCAAGTACATTGATCAACTATTAAATAGAGCCCAATTAAAAAATATCTTGTAATATATATTATACGCACAGGATGGGGCTGTACCCAGTCGTAGAGGAAGTCGCAAAGACACTGGAAACCGTAGACGGGTTCCGCTTGAGGCAGTTATGCCAACTAGAACAAGACCGCGACACACGGAAAGCACTATGTAAGAAGTACCATAGAGCTTTCAATATCGTGGACGGGGCTGATACTGTCCTTACGACAACCAGCATGGGACTAGGGGCGGCAGGTGTTGGGTTGTTGGCCACCATCGTGGCCGCACCTATAGTGCTAGGCATTGAAATAACAGGTGGGGTTGTAGGGGTGGTAGGGTTGGTGTTTAAGTTTGCATCAGCAGACTACACCGTAAGGCATTGAAACACGACGAGATCAGGGTTCTGGCCGAAGCAAAGCTGAACACGGTAAGTGAGCGTATTTCCACGGCACTCACTGACAGTAAGATCTCAGAGGAGGAATTTCGTTCAATCCTCTCTGAACTCGACAAGTACCGTAAGATGAAACAAGAAATCCGGTCAAAGTCTCGTAAGTCTGCTATCAGCGAAGACGAGAAAAAAAAGTACATAGAACAGGGGGTACGAAAAGCCCAGCAAGCCTTCATTACGAACACCAAAGAGATCATAGGCGATTCACATTAAACTGTTTCATCGAGGTCAACACGACATAGGGCGATCACAATAGTGCCACGTGATCAGGAAAGTGTCAGTTCGCGGTCATAGTGACCAGGAAGTTAACTGGGGGTTCAAATCTGGTATATACAATAGCGGGGAGAGATAAGGGCCTGACAAAAGCTTTATTTCATAAATGAAGCTTTACAGAGGCTTTTGTTGGAAATTATCTAGTACCCCCATTGTGTATACTACTCTCTGGCTTCCTGACAAACATGGTATGACTGTTAACGATTGTTCTTGTTTCATTAATGTTTTCTCAAAACTGACAAGGAGGTAAGATTCCATTTATGTATTTAGTTCGACACTGAGATACGTTTATAACATCCCATTCTAAATTCCAGAAGTCAAGATAAGATATGAAAATTCCAGGAATTTGAAAAATGTGCCTAAACCCGGATCTTAGATAGTGGTAGCAATGTGGTTTAATCTTCTCCAGCCCACGGTTGGTCGAGTAGAGTATGCCAGTAACCTTTGGTCGTGAGTTCGAATCCGAGATTGGCGCTGATATTGCTTCATGGCTTATCTCTGTGTAAGAATGCCAAGCTTACGTTGGACCTTTTCGCGCACATTGAGCTGCCATTCTCAAAATAGTAATAACGCTGATACGTCACTCACTCAGTGTATCCTGATTAAGATGCGGATTCGAACTGGACCCCAGCAACCTAGGTCTAAGCGGCGACCTATCGTGTGATCATTCTCAGATGCAATGTTGCTCATAGTATCAATCACTGGTTTGCCTCCATTATTTACAGATCGGGGGCGGTGGGGTAGACTAGTTGTTAAAGCGTTCGCTCGTCATGCTGAAGACCCGGGTTCGATTCCTCACATGGATACAATGTGTGAAGATCATTTCTGGTGTCCCGCCGTGATCTCACTGAAATGTTGCTAAAAGCGGCGTCAGTCCAAGTAAACTGAGGCTCGGTATTATTCGTTACACTGCTATACTGAGTCCAACAAAACCTAGTAGAAGGTCGCGTCAGCTAACCTTTTGGACTGACCAATCAGAACACAGCTTACCAAATAGCGAAAGTTAAAGGTCTCATGCAGCGTAAAACACAACTTTGCAGATTCTGATACCTTTCGGTATGGTCTTACCGAAAAAATCATCAAAATTGCAAATTCAACTTATAAAAGTGAAAAATAACGCGATGAAAAAACCAAGTTTACTTGGACTGAAAGCGGCGTAAAACTATACTCACTCACTCACTATTTTACAGATCGCCGTTATATAACTCGAATATTGAGCACCCCTGAAGGGTTAGAACTGGCCTTCAGCAGCCCATGTTTGTCGTAACAGGCGACAAACGGAATCGGGTGGTCAGGCTTATATCGTATCCCAATTGCGTAGATTGGTGCTCATTACGTTGATCACTGTATCGTTTGGTACAGACACGATTACTTACAGATCGCTGCCATATAGCTTGGATATAGCTGAGTGAGGCGTTAAACCACACACACGCGCGCGCACGCACACACGTGTCGCAAAACACATCTGTCATCTCGAACATTTATGAAAAAACATTCTGTTGGCTCTCCGACAGATAGTTTAGACGAGACAGGAAACGTCCAAAGCGACCCATAGTGTTCATTTCAACGTCCCTTTCAAATGCTTCGTCACGCAGCACTGTCCCTGTATTTCCTTGACGAGCAAACAGATTATTTACTTTTTTTTAAATGAAATGTACTATCATGTCTTCCACTCTCAAAAAAATTTAGATCATTGGATTGCTTGCATAAAAGTAGGCAATCAGTCACAGAAAACTATTCTCCTGGAAACAATGGACAAGAGCAGCCATTTTAGCATTGTGTATTCTTGTACAGATCTTCAAGAGCCAGTCTAAGTAAACTTAGGCTCAGTATTATTCGTTACACCGCTATATTGAGCCTAACAAAACCTTGATTGAAATAGAATCGGTGTCACACACACCAGTTGTTAAAGCTATAAGTAACATCTATGGAACAGTTTAGGTTCTTATTTCAGCGCCAATCAACTGTGTCAGTTTATATATTTTGTATATTTCAGCGGCCATGTTCACCTTAGCCATTTTTTGCGTCCTTTCTTGCAATCGGGTGAGTTGTCGAGTGGAATTGAATTTTCATACTCTAATGTGTATGTTTTGATTATTTCTTATTATAGCAAGTTTGTTATATACATGTATGTGTTTGTGTATTCAATCTATACTTCAGTAATTAATACTAACTAATACGCGTATTTATGATGTTTGAGAGATTTGATGTACATTTCATATATTATTGTTTCATTACTTGCTGTATATTTTACTCTAAGTGCTTATAACGAACTACGGGGCGGTGGGGTAGCCTAGTGGTTAAAGCGTTCGCTCGTCACGCCGAAGGCCCGGGTTCGATTCCCCACATGGGTACAATGTGTGAAGCCCATTTCTGGTGTCCCCCGACGTGATATTGCTGGAATATTGCTAAAAGCGGCGTTAAACCCAACTCACTCACTCACTATAACGAACTACTGTTATAATTGATAGTTCATTTGGGTTCGTTATACGCGTAATTTACTCTCGCACAAACAAAACTATTTAGCAGAATTCCGAAATGCAGGTTATAAAGCATAATTTGTGTACATTTCGTAAATAGCGACGAAATGGTTTGATTTTACAGGCTCAGTGAGAGCTGGTTGAATACGTGTCGTCACAGCCAGGCAACGTGGAACGTTGCTCGCAATATCAACCACTTGTTTATCGGGTTTCGATAATTGCCAGGCCGCTGCGTGTATTAAGAATGTTGCCTACTAGGATTGAATCAATAAATGTAATAATAATATAATGTATCACATCGGTGGTGTTTGTTTCAGTCTGTGCTACCCATCAGGTCACGTGGGGGACAGCAAGGAAGCGAGGAGGCTGTTCGGAATAGCTGATACAGATGGAAACAAGACCCTGACACAAGATGAATTTCATGCCATATTTCTGGACTTCGATCTTGATTGTAAGTTGTGGTCTGAACGAGTCACAGTCGTCAGCTACTTTCGAGAAAAATAATTTCACCCCTGTTGTTATACGAATACTATTGCTGACGTCATTAATACAGAATAGATGAGGTCATACAGACACCAGAATGACGTAGAGGGCATGCCATTGTTGACGCAATGCATACACCATTTGTGACGATGCCAATACCTGTTTTTGACGTAGTATTAGTATTATTATGTTTTACAGATTAAAGATAGTATGCAGCAGAGAGGGTTCGGGTGATCCTGGCACAGTCAGGCTGGTAAGGCTCATCATCAGCTCAGGGCGCTTGCCCCCTCTACACGCAGCCCAGACAGCGAATGGGACTTCTCCCAGGAAACGCTGCCTAGTCGAACCCACCAAGAACTTTCCTGAGAATATGAAGGCTCCCCAACACTGCAGCCTACTGCATTATCCTTATTATTATTATGGCTGTTATTATACTCCATGCTATTGTGCAGTTTGATGTTATGATTATGTTTATTGTTATTATGACTATTGTTATTAGCATTATATTTGTTATATTTGTCAGCGGACCACCAGGTAACCAGCAATGAGTTCGTCACAGACTGGGCAATCAAGAACCTCGGACCCCCAAGCGAAGCCATCGTCCTGTTCCACAATATTGACGTCAACAAGGACGGCGTCATCACCGAGGATGTTGATTTGCCCTACATCTTCCACTACTTCGACCAGGACGGTAAGCGACGTCCCTTTCTGTGCATCTAGAGTTTATGAGTGGACGTTGTTTGCAGGCCGATGTTGTACGCCGGGTTTATCCATGGCTGCGGTACAAAACAATAGCCATGCCCTTAAGATGTTGTTTGTTGTCAACCTAAGGTTTGCCTGGCGTCACAGAAGCCTGAATAACATTGAGTGAGTGAGTGGTTTGTTGCTTAACACCGCACACAGCAATATTCCAGCTCTATGGCGGCAGTCTGTAAATAACCGAGTCTGGACCAGACAATCCAGTGATTAACAGCTCGATCTACGCAACTGGGATACGATGACGTGTGTCAACCAAGTCAGCGAGCCTGACCACCCTATCCCGTTAGTCGCCTATTACGACAAGCATGGGTTACTGAAGATCAATTCTAACCCGGATCGTCACGGGTCTGAATAACATGGCAACAGCTCAAAACAGTATTTGTCACTGACACGTTTTCCCCGTGCATGGGCAAGCATTTACACTCGTAAATAAGCCTGAATCGAATAACATGAAGCGAACCAATATCTGTTGCTGTCTTTTCTTTAACACCGTGTCGCAGTAACCCTTTTCCCTGTTGCATTTTGTATATTATGGGACAGTGGGGTAGCCTAGTGGTTAAAGCGTTCGCTCGTCACGCCGAAGACCCGGGTTTGATTCCTCACAAGGGTACAATGTGTGAAGCCCATTTCTGGTGTTCCCCGCCGTGATGTTGCTGGAATATTGCTAAAAGCGGCGTAAAACCATACTCACTCACTGTAGTTTATATTTTTTTCTCAGGACATGAAGGGACACAAGTTCAGTGAGTTAGCGATTATGGTTTTACTCCACTTTTACCAATTTTCCATCAATATCACGGAATGAGCTTCACACATTATATCCATGTGGGGAATCGAACCCGGGCCTTCGGCGTGACGAGCGAACGCTTTAACCACTAGGCTACCCCATCGCCCCGCACGCAAGTTGAAAAAATATGTTAGTTACGCTCAGAGTTGTGAAGTAGTGCTGATGTTTTGGGGCGGTGGGGTAGTCTAGTGGTTAAAGCGTTGGCTCGTCACGCCGAAGACCCGGGTTCGAATCCCCACAAGGGTACAACGTGTGAAGCCCATTAGTGGTGTCCCCCGCCGTGATGTTGCTGGAATATTGCTAAAAGCGGCCTAATGCCAAACTCAGTCAGTCAGTCAGTGCTGATGTTTTGGACGGTTGTATTTATGTATTTATTAATTAACTTTTGACTTACTGGATTTAACTTGTGTATTTTTCTTTCAGAAGACAAGTTGGTCACCGAAGCTGAGTTCGTCGTTCAGTGGGTGAAGATGTCGGTATCCTAGTCCCAAGCGAGACTTGAACACAGCTTCTATCTGAGTGTATCTGACATCTTCTGAATTAAAATCTAACCGAAATATCCAGTTCATCTTGTTGTTCTTTATAAGAGTTGTCTACCCTGGTATTCCGAGCCGTGAATTTCCAGCTTAGAATCGATCTTCAGTAACCCATGCTTGTCGCAAGATGCTAACGGGATCGGGTGGTCAGATTCGCTGACTTGTTTGACACATGTCGTATCCCAATTGCGTAGATCGATGCACATGCTGTTGATCACTGGATTGTCTAGATTATTTTCAGACGGCGCCATATAGCTGGAATATTGCTGAGAGTGGCGTAAAAACTAAACTCATTCAATGGTTTTGCCAGAATCTTATTATCGTGAGTCCTAATCCTTTATTTTGATTGTTGGTTTGTCAGGCTCAGTTTTGGTAATTGTCTAAAACCAGATAAATTTGGATGGGGTACAACTACTTGACTTTTTTGCTCACCAGACAAGTGAAACTTTATATTCGCGTGTCTGTCCAGAAAATTTGCAAACCTGCTTAGAAAGAAAGGTGACATTTCAAATTGTAGCATGTTTGGTGAATGTGAGTTACTTGTGACTCAGCATGCATGTTCCATTTTTTCACATCTTGAATTTAGATCAGCTATGCACTTACATTCTCTCAGCATGCGATGAACCGTGAAGGTCCGGGTTGAATATTGATCTTTGAACAGTAACCCATGCTTGTCGTAAGAGGCGACTAACGGGATCGGGTGGTCAGACTCGCTGACTTGGTTGATCGATCCTCATGCTGTTGATCACTGGGTTGTCTGGTCCAGACTCGATTATTTACAGACCGCCGCCATATAGCTGGAATATTGCTGAGTGCGGCGTAAAACTTAAACTCACTCATTCCCTAAACATGCGATTACTTGACAGCAAAACGATAACTAACTGAAAACGTACACAGAAAGCTCGACACACGCAATTCGGGATATGCATCGTCGAGATATGTGTAGTTTAGATATAGGCATTATGAGATACATTATGTCGACAATAGCATCATGTCGAGATATGCATCATGTCAAGATATAGATTATATTCAGATGTGTATCGTGATATCTATAATGACCAGATATCTGTTACGTCGAGATGTGTGTCATGTCGAGATAAGCATGTAGTCGAGATAAACAATGATTGAATCGAGTGTATCAGTAACGGTTTATTTGACAACTCAATATAGACATATGAAGACGAGGACCTAGCCTGCTAGACCCCATAGTTGACCCCCAACCCCCATATAACGGTACAGGGTTTGACCGACCGTCTTGCCACCCGTGTCCGAGTGGCAAGTTTAACGGACTTAATTCCACCCACCGACTGTTGTCAAGTCCACACGGGCAATTGTCCACACTTACTGTTAACCCGCGACCCCAGGGTCAATACCACGGTACATGTCCAAAATCCACTGACTGTTTGCCTGTGTCCCAAAAGCCAGTATAACGGTACATGTCACCACACACTTACTGTTGACCCGCCATCCCTAGGGTCAATATAACGGTACTTGTCTCAACATACCGACTGCTGACCCGTGACCCCAGAGTCAGTATAACGGTACTTGTCTCCACCCACCGACTGCTGACCCGTGGCCCCAGAGTCAGTATAACGGTACTTGTCTCCACCCATCCACTGCTGACCCGTGACCCCAGAGTCAGTATAACGGTACTTGTCTCAACCCATCCACTGCTGACCGTGGCCCCAGAGTCAGTATAACGGTACTTGTCTCAACCCATCCACTGCTGACAGTGGCCCCAGAGTCAGTATAACGGTACTTGTCTCAACCCATCCACTGCTGACCGTGGCCCCAGAGTCAGTATAATGGTACTTGTCTCCACCCATCCACTGCTGACCGTGGCCCCAGAGTCAGTATAACGGTACATGTCCCCAACCCACTGACTGCTGGCCTGTGTCCCAAGAGCCAATAAAAGAGAAAGTGCATGCCTCCACTGCCCTAATCCCGTGTCTTCAAGGCTAACAAAATGGCATGTCTCCACATACAGTTTCCGCACGAGTTGCTATTGCAAATATTTTTACAACATACTTAATCAGAGTATAAATGCTAATATCCATCCGCATACACAAACCCTGTAATATACATCAAAATCTGGTCATTGTTTCACTGTATCTATGGGACGGTTGTCTCTTTAACCTGGGAAGAACATCACTCTTTCCAACACGTGTCGTGTCAATTTCAGTAGACCTGGTGTTCATTTCACCAGGAAGAGTGTTCATTTCAATAATTTCTGAAGAATTTTCTCCTTTTTGTTTTACGTGTCCATTTTGTTCATGAGAACTGTGTTCCTTAGGGGTGATAAATGCATCGTCGATGACGTCATCAAACACCTCCGTGACGTCGTAGCTGTCAACTGGTTCACTCTGTTGGCTTGATATGCTGTAGTCATCGTCGTTGACCTCCCAGGGCGGCACGCGTCCCGTGGTTTTGAAAATCCAGTCTGTGTTGAAGAAGTCAATTTCGTCCTGAAATGTACAAGATGTTGAAATACAATAACACTGAGTGAGTGAGTGAGTGAGTGAGTGAGTGAGTGAGTGAGTGAGTGAGTGAGTGAGTGAGTGAGTGAGTGAGTGAGTGAGTGAGTGAGTGAGTGAGTGAGTGAGTGAGTGAGTGAGTCGCATACCAAATGTTTGTTTGTTGTTTAACGCAGCGTAAATGTAAATAATCGAGTTTGGACCAAACAGTCCAGTGACCAACAACATGAGAATCGATCTACACAATTGGGATACGATGACATGTCAACCAAGTCAGCGAGCCTGACCATCCGAGCCCGTTAGTCGCCTCTTACGACAATCAAGGGTTGCTGAAGACCAATTCTAACCCGGATCTGCACGGGCGGGCCCTGAATATGTTTCCAGGTTTATCATTACTCTGCCCATGCTCTTGGGTGGAGCGAAGTTGTATACTCATCGCTGACTGCATCGCTTTGGGTTATCACAGACAGTAAACTAGTATGCGGCCTTAAAAGCAATTCACATACTCACTGTAACCCGGGGTATTATGACAGCGAGAAACAAATATGGCTGCCCCTCCGTACTTGTACCCGTTTAAACCTGTCAAATCCCGGATGGGAGCAAAATAGATAGCGAGTATATATTGTACATGTTACACTAATACCCATAATCCATTGTCAGATCATATTTGCTTATCCTTACACAAAGCAAAGCAATACCTCGGCTTAATTGATGTGCTGCGCACGAAACAGGAAGCGGAAGGCAGAAAGGACATGTTATTCAATGTCATTTAAATCCAATACGACAAGGACCGCCTCCGCGGTGTAGTGGTTAAAGCGTCCGCCCGGAGAGCGGAAGGTCGCGGGTTCGATCCACGACCGCTTCATACCTAAAGACGTTAAAATATGGTACTTGTTGGTCCCTGCCTGGCGCTCGGCATTAATGGGTACAACAAGGACTGGTCGGCTAGGAGTCAGTATAATGTGTCTGAGTGGGGTATTCATGTTTCACTGCGGCATGGTATCTCAGTGGGATAAAACTATAAAACCAGCTTAAGTCTGGGCTAGTACAAGCAGCTGCACATAAACATACACACGCATGCACGTCGTCATATGAGCGAAATATTCTCAAGCACGACGTTAAACCCAATTTCACCTCACCTCACCTCAACTCAATACGATAAGGATCTAAAAAAGAGTTAGGTGAATGTGCTAATCAGCCAAAGAGGGTCTCAAACACAAATGCAACCGACAACTAAGATATTCTACTGTGCATAATTTACATGTCGTTTTTGAGCGCGACGCCATCTGATCCAAATCGGTGTACGTTTGGGGTGTTTTGGCAGGTTTCCTTAGCTAAGACCAAAATTTCCGAAAAGAAATGAAGCCGAATGGTTTCAGAAAGCAGAGATGTGATTGATTCAAAAATCCATGGTGTCTTCATTTATACTGGGAAGTCAAAGTGTTTTCTTTATGAGACCTTCCTCATTTCTCCAAGCAGAGAACTATCGGCTCTCATAAAACACAGGCATTTGTAGTAGTTAAGCTACCAGTAGCAGATTACCGTTTCTGAACTTTTATTTTGCTTTTAATTGCATTGCAGACTCCCGAGTTATATTGATTCGTTATTCGTTTAATCAAGTGTATAGACGTTAGACATACATACATGACAATTTGACACAGTGCGCATGTCTGAGCGATTGACGTCACAGTTCTTACGTCGCAGTGACCAATACCAGACCGCAAATTACACAAAAATATCACACAGAATGTAGTCTAAAGATTAGTTAACACAAATTATACAATTTTATGTAAATTTATGAAAACTAACAATTCGTGACAAATATATAACAACCAATGCTCACAATTAAAGCCATCACACAGCAAACAAACAAACAAACAAACAAAAACAAACAAACAAACAAAAACAAACATTTGGTGGATACGGATGAGTGAATGTTGATCATGGCGTCCTTTGGAAACATGGTGTAGTGGTTAAAGCGTCCGCCCGGAGAGCGGAAGGTCGCGGGTTCAATCCCCGACCGCGTCATACAAAAAGACGTTAAAATATGGCACTTGTTGGTCCCTGTCTGGCGCTCGGCTTTAATGGGTACAACAAGGACTGGTCGGCTCGGAGTCAGTATAATGTGTCTGAGTGGGGTATTCATGCTTCACTGCGGCATGATATCTCAGTGGGCTAGCACTATAAAACCAGCTTAAGTCTGGGCTAGTACCAGCAGCCGCACATACACATACACACGCATGCACGTCGTCATAAGAGCGAAATATTCTCAAGCACGACGTAAAACCCAATTTCACCTCACCTCACCTCACCTTTGGAAACAGTCATCTCTAAGTACAGCCAAAGTTCAGGACAGAACATGACCTCCGACTCCATTGAGCCTACTGATGTGGATTGGTTGGCCACAATGGTTGATTACCAGTCGTCGTGCTACCTAACTGCGTTTACATTTGCTTGTGCTATCGGCCACTGGTTTTCTTGAGCAGGATTCGATTATTTACATTCATCCGTTGAATGTCGCTGAATGTGGCCTTATACAACATTCACTCAAGGGGTGAAATCAATGGCAATAAATCACATTACAAACAAACACATTGATTAAGCATAAGCAAAGCGTTACCTGGGATCAAGTCTGAGGGATTCGGGATAATTTCGGGTTCGAGTGATTCTACCTCTTTCTCCTCCCGGTTGACCTTGACACAGGACAAGGGGAGATAACAACACAGACGGTCACATGCCCGGTGGATGAAGCTGGCCTTCACCTTACTTGGGGTGTTGAAACCTTTCAAGAGGAACACATAGTATTAATATTGATACAAGAAGTCATAAAAAAACCAGCTGTGGTGTTTTTTTCCAAATTAGATAAGTGGTCCAAAATTGAGAAAGCTATGTGTCCATGAAGGTATTATAACATATTGATTTTAATGCACTAGTAAGTACAGTCGAGCACCGTTGTCTCGATATTCATGGGACCAAGAAAAAATATCGAGTTATCCGAACTTCGAGATATCCGACCAGGGCATATCATGACATATCACTATGGAAGTTAACAAAACAAAAAGTAAATTTCATGTATATTTATTTGTATATACATTTTTACTCACAGGGATCGCAATCACACATGATACCCTCATTGGATTCTCAGTATGTTTTGATTCGAAACTATAATCCGTTATAAGTACTTTTCAAATTCAAATTTCGTTTTTGGCAAACATCTAATATTTTAACATAATAAGTCATTGGATACATTCATGGAGACGTAATATTTTAATGGATACATTCATGAAGATTCGTATTGCTACATGGAGTATTTCATTCAAATTATTTTATCATATTCATATATTGATATCTGTTCCCTCTTGCTGAATATTCAAACTGGGGTTACTATTTACATACGTTATTCTGTGCAGAGAAATCATGATGGTCGGTTCAAAACACCATATCAATCTTTGTTGGTTTCACCCAAATTGCAAATGTCTGTAATATGTATCATTTCAGGTTTTCAAACAGAAACACTTTTCAAAACTACGTTAACTCACTCATTCACTCACTCACTCACTCACCTGTACACGGGGACGTGATAAAGGTCACGATGACCCCGGTCAAGACCGACACAAGAACAGCATACAGCGCATACCACAGGTAAGACATATGGTAGATCCACCTGAAATATACAAGAGGGGTCAAGATTCACTGATATATCGATGCTATGCGATACAGGTCCCGCCAACCAATGTGTCGATTATCGTTTAATTTCTGTATCGATCTGCAACTCAAAATATGTATCTCAATAACCCACTCTGACAGCTATCATTTCTAACCGTGTCTTATTTATCAACAGGAAACGAATTGATAAATCCGATCCTCTTACGTTGTAATCATCGTAATGATCGGCTTGACATAATACATCGCGTGTCTCGAAGTACGGATAACTCGAAACATGATCCTCATAATAATTTATCTAACTGCACCTTATTTTGTTCAATGAAACTGATCGCATTACACTATTATAACTATTATGATCGACACTAACGTTTGACATGATACATTCTCTGTCTCGAAGTACGGAGAACTCGACTTAATCACATGGTCCGTCGACTAATATTTCTAACCGTAACTTAGTTTTTATCTGTGCTTCAATCATCATCATGATCGGTTTGACATAATATATCGCTTATTTCGAATTACTGAAAACTCGACTTTTATACATGGCCCCAAAAACTCGAAAGTTTCACTGCAAGAAAAACTCAGTCTTACAGGTCCTCTCCCTTGGGTTCGACAGACGATACAGCCATCGTAGAATTGAGGATAGAAGCTATGTGGTTGTCGCTGATGCTGCAGTTGCGTAGAACGCCAACCCAGTCGCCACATGCGTTGATACTGACGTTGCTGACGGGAGGGACTGGGAGGATGAGCGTACTCCCAACGCCTGCCCAGAACGCCAGTACCGTGGACAATATCAAGCCACAGAGTGCACCCTGAAAATAAAAACTACATTTGTACTCAATTATTCTGGCATTGACCTCGGTCTGTCTGTTTAAAAGTCTTGATAACTCAGGACAATCTCAGTACAATCAAATCTTTGTTTGCAGTTCAGTTAAACCCAATCTCAGGATATCCCGTTACAGGTCACGTCAAAACGTCCTTTCATCCGACCAATCAGAGCGACGCTTACAAGATCACGCACGAGAAAGTTCGAATGTGTTCTCTAATCAGCCTCGAAAAGATTTAAAACACTGGGGTTCGAATCACTATTTGGACAATAAGTTTTAAAAATAAAAATCTACACGTTTGCAATCATATATTGTTTTCAGATGTTATGAATAACATATTTTTCAAATTTGAACGAAACCGGTGAAGAAATAAAGATTTTAGAAAATTTATATACATGTAATATTATTATTGTCCAAACAGGGGTTCGAACCCATGTGATTAAAACGGTGTATTCCGAAGAACAGGTGTAGGCCTAACTGATCATGAACGTTCTCTCGCTCAATAGCATATACATTTAAATCGGGAAGGACTTCCGGTAACCAGGGGGAGGTCCTGGCACTCAGAGTAAGTGAAATACTACTGAAATCTGACTGAATGGAAACTAGTTCGAAACGACCAAGAAATGCATAAAACAGAGTTCGACACAACCGTATTCAGCTGTGTATACACAAATGCTGGACTCGGCATCAGACCACTTACCCATGCATTGATGAACGGTATAAAAATCCCGGAAATGAACAAGCCAAGGAGTGGCCCCCCACTCATCCCAAAGATGCTGAGTACGATCTGTGAAGAAAAAATGTGTCGCGCCATGTAATGACAGAACTGGAGAACATATTATCCGGCAATCGTTTAATACAGGTGAACTTTCACTATTGAATAAGTCTACACCTTGTGATACATGACTTGAAGCTGAAGATCATTATAATCTGTGAAAATTGGCTGAACTGAAGTGCGTCTTCAGGGAGGTGTGGTGCCAGGTTACACTACACTAAATCAGTATCACATGCTCCTGCGCGAGAGCCGTATGTAAACAAGTGAGAGAGACAGAGACATGTGACAGCTGTTATTGGATGAAATAGTGTAAGATGTTTGTTTTTTAAAAGCACATCCAACCAGTAATTAAAACTGACCACAATTTTAAGTATTTAGTGCTGTCATTTTTATCACCATGACTTATGCTTATTGTGTGTACAGATATTTTCCAGTAGGTGACATTTGGTGCGGAACTGGGGTTGATGTGTTCCGCTTCCTGTGCTCGCAAAACGAGCCGGACAAGTTGGCCTGATATTTTGTTTTATGGTAGTTTAAAGGCCAGAGTGTACCCATGTGTACATGGAATGGCTGTTGATAGCCTGGATATTTTTTAAAATATATAAGGTTACTATAGAAGTCAATGGGGAAACATTTGGTGGTGTGTAACCTGCCACCCCCTCTATGTCCAATGTTCGTGTACGCATGTAGATACTTGTTGGTGGGCTCTTCACGTTTCAGCTATTTACTTCACTTTTAAAATGCTAAATGATATGTTGGAATAGAAAGTAAGACCTAATTAAACAAGCAATCTCAATTATATGTTTATTATGGGTATCTATGATCAGTGTGTGAAATAGTTTCCAAATTGTGCTAGATATGCCTGAAAGTTACTAGCCCACAAAATAATTCACTAGACCGAAGTTTGAATGTAGACACGGGTTTCATCATTAAGCTGCTAACATGATGAACATTTTTATCAGGTCATAATCTTGCATGATTTAATAGTGTATTATAACTTAACACGTTGGAGAGTGATATATTTACAAAATGACCCCATGAAAATTCACTAGCCAGTCGAGCCAGTGACTGTGGAGATGTACTGGCCCGACTGGATTTTCACTTGCCACGGGCTAGCGGACCATTACTGCCTATGATGTGTTTCGGTGAATGGATTCACTTTTCATAGGTTTGTAATTGTCAAGTGTATACTTTCTTTTGCCCGGTAGTGTGGTATATATGATAGTGATGAATCGTTACACCCTAACTACCTGCAGCACTGTTTGTCCAAGAAGTCGTGCCAGAAACGCGACGCCAATGACGGTTCCGCCAAAGACTAACCCTGAAATGAACAAAATAAAGTTGAAAAGACGTAAATAAAACATGTGACTGTGAGACACACCGGCATCGGTCAAAAGAACGCTGATAGATATATGTAAAATATATTTTTTAAAATAACAAATCAATATGATCGTAATAATTTCTTATGACACATTCTCTTGGCGGTTTTGAATAGCTAAACTGCTGGAAAAGCAATGGTTACTGGTTATATTTATATTTTTTGCCCCCATTTTTTTGCTGAACATTTCAGTGGTGACAGGCCGGGAAAGCCACATTTCAAAAATGACTATTGCCGGGAAGGCCACATTTCAATTACATGGCTGTAGCCGGTAAAGCCACATTTCCAATAGATTAATTAATTAATGGATTAATGAATTAAAGCACCACCTCACTGACACGCCGTAGTATGACTGGAATACTGTTAAAACGGCGATAAACTTACTCACTTCAAAGATACGTATACGAGCGCTTCCAGTGGAGATGAACTAGGACGCGGGAAGAGCCGTAACTATTGCCGGGAGAGCCACATCAATTTAGGCTATCTGTTTCGGAAATGTGGCTCTCCCGGCCTGTAACCGATATTGTCGCTATCACTAGGGCTGCGCAATATAACCGGTTTACCGGTATTTACCGTTTCAGACATGAAAACGATACGTATTGCGATACGCTGATCGAAAACCGGTATTTTGACATGCATTCGGAAAACTTCGTAACACTCGGAAATCTTCGGATATTTCCGTTTTTAATTGTTCTTTTCCCTGTCTCATTAGTGCCAAATGTTACTTACATTTTTATTTTGTCATGATTAAAAGTTTTATTAAAAGGTTAATCAATCATAGTGATTTTGTTGTGTTTTTGCTTTATAATCAAGCATTAACTCGATTATAAATAGTTTTTGTTGAAAAAATAATTCTTGCAATATATTGCAATACATATCGCAATATATGCTTCCGCATCGCAATATATCGCAATATGAAAATTCTCTGCAATACCCACCCCTAACTATCACTAAAATATTCCATGTTTTACGAGCGAGACACAAGGTCGGCGTGGTAATCATTTGTCTTAAGACTGAACTGTATTTCTCTTTTGATTTCCCGGATTTGATCAGACTACCAACCTATAACTTTAGCTGTCCTGTTGACGAAGACGGTAGACGGAACCCAGTTCTTGGACTCCCACGCCAGTTTGAGAATATCCTCCAGGAACACGATGGAGAGTGCATTGAGACCAGACGAGATGGAGCTGTGAACAGGTGAAATGCTAATCAAAGAAATGTTGAGTATGATTTCGAATTTATGACACAGAAAGCTTACACAATAATTCACAAGTTAGCATTTAACCCGTGAACATCCGGGTTAGAATTGGTCTTCAACAACCGATGTTGGTCGTCACAGGCGGGATCGGGTGGTCAGGCTGACTGACTCACATGTCATCGTATCTCAGTTGCGTAGATGGATGCTCATGCTGTAAAATTGCGGAGTGTTACTAAAACAAACCAAACAAGTTAGAAATTTAATTCTTCATGTAAACGGGTTTGTAATTTTTAGGTTTGGGCTTTTTCTTTCGTTTGTATGTTTGTTGTGTATGCGTTTTTTGGTTTGGATTGTTTTTTGGCTTAGTGGATTTGTTTGTTTATGTTTTTTTGTTTATGTTTTTGTTTGTTTATGTTTTGTTGTTGTTGTTGTTTGGTTGTTGTTGTTGTTTGGTTGTTGTTGTTGTTGTTGTTTGGTTGTTGTTTTGTTGCTGTGGAATATTGCTGAGTGCGGCGTTAAACAACAAACCAACCAGCCATATTGATTATTTACAGACCCTCGCCATATAGCTGGAATATTGGTGATTGCGGCGTAAAACTAAACTCAATCACTCACTCATTGTTCCAGACAGGCAACATATAGCTAATCCATCCCCACCCCTTATCGAGGCTTGACCTATATTTAATGTACTTCAAATCCGTCTTGAGACACTGTCTAGTTTGCACACGGGACTAATCATACCGTCTAGACGTATACTGAACACAGACAACAGACTTAGGGATGTAGACTGCCAGAAGTGTGATAGGTGTTGACAGATCGAACATTTGACACTACATACTGCACGTCCGTTGTCAAATTCCACATTGCCCCGGCAAATCTACAGGTAACACAACACAACACAACACTCCTTACCGTGGATATATAAATAACAGGGGTGACACGAAAAGCCGGACTCACAGATTTATTGATTGACTGTTTTCTAACGCCGCACTCAGCAATATTCCAGCTATATGGCGGCGGTCTGTAAATAATCGAGTCTGGACCAGACAATCCAGTGATCAACAGCATGAGCATCGATCTACGCAATTGAGATACGATGACATATGTCAACCTAGTCAGCGAGCCTGACCACCCGATTCCGTTAGTCGCCTCTTACGACAAGCATGGTTTACTGAAGATCATTTCTAACCCGGATCTTCACGGGTCTTGATTATTTACAAACTGTCATCAAAGCTAGAATATAGACGAGTGAGGTATTAAACCACAGACAAACTCAAAGCGCGAGAGATCTGGTCCTGATTTTCTACAGGGCCACCTCGAGGGTGTTACTCCTACCCGAGAGGGGTGGTGGGGTAGCCTAGTGGTTTAAGCGTTGGCTCGTCACGCCGAAGACCCGGGTTCGATTACCCACATGGGTACATTGTGTGAAGCCCATTTCTGGTGTCCCCCGCCGTGATATTGCTGGAATATTGCTAAAAGCGGCGTAAAACAAAACTCAGTCAGTCAGTCAGTCCTACCTGAGAGACGCGCTGAACAGACTGGCCACAAATAGTCCCGCTAGGCCTGGTAAAAAAGTCAACTTGTCCATGACCAGGAACGGTAAGAGCTGAGTGAGAGAAAAGATAAATGGGTGAATGAATGAGAAGAGACATAAACGGATGAATGAATGAGTGCGTGCATGAGAGAGTGTTTAAATATATGAACTAAAGTACTGTCGGAAATAGAAAAAAACTGTTTTAGGCTGTTACTCTGTATCCCTAAAATTGACAAATTTACAAATAGCATATATTGAAATAACCCACATCGGCCTAACTGGGCATTCAGTGGGATGCGTAATGCTATATCCAGAAAAGCATGTTTACTCGTAAAATCGAGCAAACCTGAGAAAAAATACGAATAGCTGCTCAAAACAATAGATCAGACTATAGATGGCAATTAGGTCGCTCAGCCATGTATGACGACGATCCGTCGACTCACCTGTCATGAAATGCACGTCCTGCCTACAAGCACAAGGGGTCATCTCAATGATATTTTATGGGTTTTTTCATGTGTGTTGAATATGTCTCATCTATTGATCATAAAGTTTATGTTGAGATACGTAAAAGGGTATGATACCCATAGAAAGGCTTAAATCAGCCATCGTTTAAATGTCTCAAAATATATAGGTGGCATGACCACCCGAAGATCGACAGGACTGGATATTATTTGTAAATTGTTATGACATGTCGTTTGCTTCCCAGTTTAATTCCCTAAAGGATTATTTATCTCAGCTTATTTCTCTATCCCCCAGCCCGACCCCAACCACCGTCTGCGACACCCGTCCTTGATTTGCTTTTGAGACGACCCCTCCTACCTGTTTCTTTTTATAGTGATAGTGAGACTCCATGGTAGCTCCATCCTTCATAGTTTCAGTATTAAAGTTATTATTTGTTACGTCATCTATCGTTTATAATGAAGCTAAGTTTAATTTTAAAATGGACATTTAAAAATTGTCCTTTGTAATATAATATCATCGGACACTAATTTGCATAAAGCCATGGTCTGTTCTAAATAAGTCGCTTTGGACTTACAAAAAACCGCATTTCTCATTTCTGCACTAATCTCTCCTCAGTAAAGTCCCTTTTTCTACGTTTCCTATCTCCCTACCACTGCGACTGTAGTTAGGCCGAACTTAGTTTAACAGATATTTCACACCTACACATATTAACTACATAAATTGTAGATATCAATGCGAAAAAGCAGTTTTTTTCTGTTTCCGACAGTACTTTAGTGCATCCTCGGCACCAAGGGGTGTAATATCCAGGTACCCCCACTAATATACCCGAAAAGGCCAGAGGAGTCATTATTACATTATTGACAAGTTCAGAGCTCTCCATTTTAACATACGGCGATGTAAATGCGGCTCTTGCGACACCGAAGACTATCTGGCCACCCGGGCCCCAAATAACTATAAAGATAATTTGTTCTCCTGCATGAATTCAAATTTACTCGTGCATGCACACACGCAAACACCACCACAAACCAGTTAAAACAGCCATACTTAGAACTACGAACGTGCAACATATATATCCCCAAAGACAGACCTCCCAAAAGACAGACCTCCAATAAGACAGACTCAATGAGTACATTAATTAGCTGAGCCATGCTGTCCACCCCTATGTAATTAATGAGCTCACCCAGAGTCACTAACAACACATTCCTATCCCTCCTAAAGTCCGTTTGGCTCAAAAGCGGACCGATGAATTGCAATCTAACTCGAAAACTAATAAACATAAAATACTCAATGAAACGCTGATCATAATCAAAACATCATACCCACTCTGTGAGGCTTTTGCAGAATTTTTGTCCTAAAAATTAAAAAGTTCTTTAACAATCTATCATTAAAATATTGACACAGTTCACTATTTGTTACAAGGGAGGAGTGCAGAGAAAGGGACAGCCAGGTGTTCGAGAACGGATGGAGACGGCACAGCACAGGTTAATGAATAAATAAATTTGTCTGTGAACGTGCTAGAACACCTGGCTGTCCCTTTCTCTGCACTCCTCCCTCGTAACAAACAGTGAACTGTGTCAATATTTTAAAGATAGTTTGTTAAACAGCTTTCTTATTTTTAGGACAAAAATTCTGCAAAAACCTCACAGAGTGGGTATGATGTTTTGATTATGATCAGCGTTTCATTGAGTATGTTCTGTTTATTAGTTTTCGAGTTAGATTGCAATTCATCGGTCCGCTTTTGAGCCAAACGGACTGTACAAGTGAATACATTGTGAATATTATAACCTTTAATACCACAAACTAAAGCTATAATTACCATTTATGTTATCATAACACATTTCATTGCAAAGACTCTGTGACAAATCACAAAGTTTCTGTCGCAAAAATCACAAAGACTCCACCCTCACTGTAACCAAGTTCCCTACCAGTGCCACTGATGATGTTGAAGTGACTTCTAATAAGTATTATCTGTGAGCTGACAAACATGTGAAGTAAAATAATATGGTGCTTGGTCTCATATGCTTGATAGGTACATGTACATAAATTATTGTTTTTGATAATATTCACAAGTAAATGTGAAAATATATTCTGATGTACATATATAATTATTGTTTTTGATAATATTCACAAGTAAATGTGAAAATATATGTTGATGTACATATATAAATTATTGTTTTTGATAATATTCACAAGTAAATGTGAAAATATATGTTGATGTACATATACTCATGCCAATAATGGTTGTCACCCCTCCCCACCCCACCCCCACCCCCCACCCCCACCCCCTCTCCAATTAAAAATGGAAGGGGGTGACAACCGTTATTGGCATGAGTATATATTTGTTGATGCAATATGTCTTAATATAAAAATCATAATTCATTACATCAATTGATAAAACTATAGTTAATACCTAATGTTGTCTTTTTTATCTGGGCACATACAATTATTATCAAGGGTACAGCTTATTTAAGCCTTATGCAACCAACCATTAAATGTGTTGTTTTAAGCGGTCTGTCTTTTGGGAAGATACCGAAAATGTGACACATATTACTGGTTAGGTTAGGAATGACATAATTTAAACTCCGATATTTGTTACAAATGGAATTATACAAAATAGAAAATATCATTTTGAGCCGAACCCAACTCGTAAGAAATGTTCGAAGCAACTTTGACCTTCCTTGACCTACTGACCTGGTCTCTGGCCTTGATATGACCTAGTATGTAGGGGTCACATTCGTTGTAGACGGCGAACATGACGAGACCCACGAAGCAGACGAGACAAGACAGGATCAACGTGGGAGGAATGCTCATATATAGTGCCCTGAAACACATGAGTGAGTGAGGGAGTGGGGTTTAACGCTATTTTAAACAGAAATTCTGTTATTTCACGGCGAATCAAAATGATATGCATTCGTCACCACTCGCCCCTTTCCGTAACAGCTATTCGGCTTCTTCCTGAATAATTCGTGACCAACTCGTGTTATTCCGGGACAAGCCGAATAGCGTACGGAAAGGGTCGAGTGGTGACGAATGCTCCCTGAATAACACGTCAAGAAAACCAGCGAAGTGTGGTGCCGACAAACCACGGATCATGAGCAACAATCGGGGATTTGAACCCACGATTTTAGGATCCTAGCAGGCCTAAGGGACAGAACTCTACACAGCGAAATGCAACGCAATAGAGAACCCGGCTACACGCGCCGTGTGTACAGGAAAATCTAATCTTACCAAGAAACGATAGCATCATGTGATTAATGCGAGTTTTACTTCTACATTTCAATGAGAAGATGCGTCCTAAACCATCGAATTTAAGAAAATCTGAAAGGAAAGGGTTTTGCTCCCCTCCTCTTCCCTTTCGCCAGACCATTTAAATTCAGACCTACTTTTGTGAATTGTGTATCTTCTTGATTGCCAGGTATCTCTGTATCGTCGTCTGATTGGCTGCGTATATTGTCAGCTGACCTACCCAGGAGCCAATGATGAGCGACCACACAGAATGACGGACTGTGGGGTCTGGATCCCAGCTGTCCAATTAAAATGCTTTATCTGTACATCATCATCATCAACATCATCATCATCATCTTTATTTCTCGAAAAACCACCAGCGGTGGTACATGAGACAAATATTTTCAAATAAATGCAATCAATACCAAGATAACAAGGATGTACAAAGAAACATCAAAATCATTTATATAAATACATATACAAAGATATAGTGTAACAAATTGAAAAAACGTAAATGTTACAAATTAGATTTTATATGGAGCTTTTTGAAAACATTTCTAGTACATTTTGCTAAGTACCTGAAATGTTGGCTCTATTGAGAAGTGTGCATTTAAATCATTCCACTCATATTCCATGTCGTGTTTTTAACTGTTTTAAATGCATGCACACGCACGCTCAAACGCACGCACACGTATTATACAAAATACGTAAGAGGTGGTTAATGTATCGGGTTGGTTTGATGGATTACATCCAGGGCCCACTTGCACAAAGCGATCTTAGCGCTAAGACTGACTGACTGACTGAGTTTGGTTTTACGCCGCTTTTAGCAATATTCCAGCAACATCACGGGGGGGACACCAGAAATGGGCTTCACACATTGTGCCCATGTGGGGATTCGAACCCGGGTCTTCGGCGTGACGAGCCAACGCTTTAACCAATAGGCTACCCCACCGCCCCCTTAGCGCTAAGAATATTCTCGGGTTATGTTATGGTATGGGAGTTACGATTTTCGTAGCGCTCACGGGACGATGGGGTAGCCTAGTGTTTAACGCAGAAGACCCAATTCTGGTGTCCTTGGACATTGCTGGACATTACTGGATATTGCTGGAATATTGCAAAAAGCGGAGTAAAACCATACTTATTCACTCACTCGTAGCGCTAAGATCGATTTGTGTACGTGGTCCCTGATGAAGTATAACATGCTCACAATATCAACCACTGGTTTGTCTGGGTCAGACTCGTTTATCTGCATACCGCCGTCACAAAGATTTAATACGGCATTAGACAGAGCTAAACATCTTCTAGCCCAGGTCCACGAGGTGGATTCACAATTTGTTTTGGTGGGCGTGATACTCACTCGAAGAAGAATATCCGTCCCTTTTCGTTTGCAATCTGCCACACCCTCTCGACCCCGCCCACCTCAATGGATCCCTGCACTGCTACTGCAACCAGGCCCGCCATCACGACAAACGTCTGGAACGTGTCTGTCCACACCACGGCTCGCAGACCACCCTGTCAGAAACAGACACCGTCAAGTCCAGGCACAGACACCGTCAAGTCCAGACACAGACACCGTCAAGTCCAGACACAGACACCGTCAAGTCCAGACAGAGACACCGTCAAGTCCAGACACAGACACCGTCAAGTCCAGACACAGACACCGTCAAGTCCAGACACAGACACCGTCAAGTCCAGACACAGACACCGTCAAATCCAGACACAGACAACGTCAAGTCCAGACACAGACACCGTCAAGTCCAGATACAGACACCGTCAAGTCCAGACACAGATACCGTCAAGTCCAGACACAGACACAGTCAAGTCCAGACATTGCAAGTTATGGAAGAATATACGATAACACCAGACTGACTGACTGACTGAGTTTTACGCCGCTTTTACCAATATTCCAGCAACATCACGGCGGGGGACACCAGAAATGGGCTTTACACATTGTACTCATGTGGGGATTCGAACCCGGGTCTTCGGCGTGACGAGCCAACGCTTTAACCACTAGGCTACCCCACCGCCCCTATAACACCAGAACTATTTAAGTCAGTAGACAGGCGCGTAGCAATTTTTTTCGTGTAAGCCCGATAGGTTGCAAAGCTTTATATCTAGATAGTATTGAGGGCTTGCCCATCCTTTTGAGAAACAATCACTACCAATACTTGTTATGAAATGTATGACATATAGAAGAAACGTTAAATAGCTATTTTCTTTCATACAATGGTGCTAAATGTACAGAAAACCCAGTTATAAACTTTGGGTTTAATGCTATTAAGACACGAAAGAACAATAAAATCATATCCCTGTTGGATTCGAACCAGTACGTGTTCAATGGGGGTAGCCTAGTGGTTAAAACGTTCGCTCGTCACGCCGAAGACCCGGGTTCGATTCCCCACATGGGTACAATATGTGGAGCCCATTTCTGGTGTCCCCCGCCGTGATGTTGCTGGAATATTGCTACAAGCGGCGTAAAACCATACTAACTCACTTGTTCAATGATCCATGGTCCCCCGCCATTATATTGCTGGAATATCGCTAAAAACGACGTAATATCATTCACTCACTCACTCACTCAATCGGTATATGGCCATACAGTTTGTAACAAACCGGGGTAATAATAGTGAGATTGTCTGCACTTTGAGCAATCTCAACGGATGGAAAATAGCGCATAACGAATGCACGTATTATAATTATTAAGCAAACGTACGAAGTGAATAAATGTGCGCAAACTGATTATACTCACGAGTGCTGTGTAGAATGTGCACACGACACCAATTATTGTTATACACAGCTCCAGACTCAGTCCCGTCACTGGAAACAGATAACAGACCCATACAGTGACACTCGTTAATCTGGACGATTCCTTACTGATGACAGTAGTTCCAAAACTCCGGATAAAACAGTACAAGTCAGTGAGTGAGTGAGTGAGTGAATATTGCTTAACTTCGATACCACTGTCAGTTCGACAAAGAGAAATACGTGGGGACATAGCTTTACTTCGATACAACTGTCAGTTCAACACAATCGACAAAGAGAAATACGTGGGGACATAGCTTTACTTCGATACCACTGTCAGTTCAACACAATCGACAAAGAGAAATACGTGGGGACATAGCTTTACTTCGATACCACTGTCAGTTCAACACAATCGACAAAGAGAAATACGTGGGGACATAGCTTTACTTCGATACCACTGTCAGTTCAACACAATCGACAAAGAAAGAGAAATACGTGGGGACATAGCTTTACTTCGATACCACTGTCAGTTCAACACAATCGACAAAGAGAAATACGTGGGGACATAGCTTTACTTCGATACAACTGTCAGTTCAACACAATCGAGAAATACGTGGGGACAACTTCGAGAAATGTCAGTTCAACACAATCGACAAGAGCGTTTAGCTTTACTTCGATACCACTGTCAGTTCAACACAATCGACAAAGAGAAATACGTGGGGACATAGCTTTACTTCGATACCACTGTCAGTTCAACACAATCGACAAAGAGAAATACGTGGGGACATAGCTTTACTTCGATACAACTGTCAGTTCAACACAATCGACAAAGAGAAATACGTGGGGACATAGCTTTACTTCGATACCACTGTCAGTTCAACACAATCGACAAAGAGAAATACGTGGGGACATAGCTTTACTTCGATACAACTGTCAGTTCAACACAATCGACAAAGAGAAATACGTGGGGACATAGCTTTACTTCGATACAACTGTCAGTTCAACACAATCGACAAAGAGAAATACGTGGGGACATAGCTTTACTTCGATACCACTGTCAGTTCAACACAATCGACAAAGAGAAATACGTGGGGACATAGCTTTACTGCTTTACCGATACCACTGTCAGTTCAACACAATCGACAAAGAGAAATACGTGGGGACATAGCTTTACTTCGATACCACTGTCAGTTCAACACAATCGACAAAGAGAAATACGTGGGGACATAGCTTTACTTCGATACCACTGTCAGTTCAACACAATCGACAAAGAGAAATACGTGGGGACATAGCTTTACTTCGATACCACTGTCAGTTCAACACAATCGACAAAGAGAAATACGTGGGGACATAGCTTTACTTCGATACCACTGTCAGTTAAACACATCAAAGTTCGATATGTATGATGACTACTGCACTCTAAACAGTGACCATCCGGGAAAGCATGTTTCTGGAAAAAACGATGTAGGGAATAATGAGGATTTACTCTATCTGACACGTGAGTGAGTGAGTAATCGAGTCTGGACCAGACAATCCAGTGACCAACAGCATCAATCTACGTAATTGGGATCAACTTAGTCAGCGATCACCCGATCGCCTCTTACGACAGGCATGGGTTGTTGAAGACCAGTTCTAACCCGGATCTTCACGGGTCTCCGGTACTCTCCAGCGGGAATGTATCGGAGTACGAATGTTGATGAGACTGGTGAGAAAGCCTACCTGAGTTGAGAGCCAGAGACGGAGCGTACAGCACCACCCCCATAAACAGAAGCTGCAGCAGAAAGAAAAATGCTAAAATGTAATGAAGACACAGTTATTGTCTTTTTCTTTCAGACAGTGGTCACGAGAGAGAGAGAGAGAGAGAGAGAGAGAGGAGAGAGAGAGAGAAAGAGAGAGAGGTGTGGGTGGGGGGTGGAATGGAGATTTCTCTATCTAACAAGTGACGGGAGCTTTACATCAAGTTGACTATGCAAAACAAAGTTTGGGTAAGGGGATAAAGGATAGAGATTGTCCGGGAGGAACAGGGTCCAGATTAACGATGGTTCACTGTAGGCAATCGACATGAGTCAGACATATACTACCCATCAAACGTTTAGACTCACTTAAAACACTCACTATATGTTATGTATATATATATGGTTACATCGAAGACGAATTTCTCAACTAACTTGGGGAACCAACTGCAAACCTTATGCAGATGAATTGCATGAAAATCGTGCATCAAATTAGTGAAAAGCATGTGCGAATAACGTGCATGCGAACAGCTGCGTTTTGGTGTAAAGTTTTGTTAAGAATTCTATCATTTATGGAACTCATGACAATAATTTTTTCAACGCTACGAATTTGTTTTACAATACATCAGTTCATGTGTAAACAGTACCTTTAAACAGTATAGAATATTTTGCAAAACGTAGTTTAGAACAGTTGACTGAAGTTAGTGGCTATATTTACACTAGTGAGCCTAAACGTTTGATGGGAAGTATATATTAGATGACTCAGACCTAGATTACCATGTTCAGCAGGAACAGGATGGAGGCACAAACTCGCACTGACCGGTTGAAGCGGGTTTCCAAATACTGAAATGGACATGACATATATGAAAAATACACGTGAGTCACAGCAACGCTTACTGCCACAATACTCATCTCGGAACTATCATGGCATCATCTATAATCTCCAGGGTATACGTTACGACAAATCTCCACTTGTAACCTTGATGCATCTATGGCTCAGCCCGATAATTTTATGACCTCCCTTTGCTCTCTCCGCATTCTCACAGTAGCCAATCAGATAAGCCGCCGTTCAAACCGAGCTTGCCAGTGTCAACAACGAAGGTTTTGGGGGAAATCATACAGACAAATTGACAGGTCTGAAACCTTAAAAAATATATACAAAAACTCTTTCTACCTCTTTCAGAGTACCTCTGCAACAATTGTGTTGCCAAGTTTAATCGGTTAGATCAGGGAGACTATATCAAGGTGTTGTAGAGTATCCCTGGTTAGATAAAAGAAGCGAAAGTGAGTTGTGATCGGTACGCTCAACTTCCCAGCGTAGACACCTGATTGGATAAAAAGCCTGCCAAGGGAGGTAATAAAATCATAGGATGCATCCAGGGCATAGTGGAGATTTTATCGGAACGTATGCTCCGGAGATTATCGAGGATGCTACCATGGGGCGCAGTGGGCGAGCTATGTAAGTCGCCAGGCTATAGTGATCAATCGAGCTCGGGATCGAGCCAACCTGTGACCGGGTGTAAAAACCTTGGAGTCAACTTTGTATGGAGACTCTTTCAGTGTTGTCACAACCCCTAGTGTACAGTAGTGTCGGTCCGATTAATTGAAATAATCGAAGATTGGTCGCAGTGACGAAACGACCAAGCAATCGATCATGTTTTCTCATAATCGAACACAAACAATTCTGGAAAACTTTTTGCATTAACAATATTTTTCGCATGGTTGGTTTTATCAGTTACATTTTATGAGCACTACAAGCTCGATCCAAGTCATGATTGAATTTATCTTCAGGACCCCAAGAAATTTATGTTCCTAACATACTAGTTACCCTTTCAAGATGTGAAATTTGCAACAAAAAAACCCAAAGAACTACATGTTTTTTCTTTATGTTTTTTGTGAATTAACAAAAATAACCAGAACAAATTCATAAATGACGCTAACAAATTATTTTCGATGATTGATCGGTTGTAATGAAGCAATCATCAATTATGAGATTTTAACCAATTCCCAACACTAGTGTACATTACTCAACCCTGTGCACTTAAAACAACCCACGAATCCGTTGGCAAATGACTAGATGTCGGCCACGTGAATACGTGCAAACACCTTGTTGCGGGTACAGCAACGCGCAGTGAACTTGGACAAAGTACTGTGACTATGTGTCCCAGTCCACCCAGCTTAGAATGGGTACCTCGTAAGCATGGGAAAGCCACATTAACTTGGTGCGCCTAGTTGGCTGCAAGATTTGTATCATTCCCAGGGAGTTGAGATTAAAACTATTTCTAGTTATATTAAAACCGTTCATACAAATAATAGTATGTATCAGTACGCCGATCATACATATATTACAGTGCATATATTTTTTCATACATTTTTATATTTTTCACAAATTATTCATAACAAAGAAAATTCGTATACGTTCAAGTTGCAGTGCATAGTGTGTCTTGTTTATAGCCCCGCGTATCAAGCGCAGTAGTAGGCAATTAGCAAAAGCGTCCACGCCAACCTTAAACTAATTAATCAAAGATGAAGCTAGCGAGCTGTGTCGGCTCCGGCCTTTCTTCTCGTGTACATCCCTTGGTCAAGCACAGATAAATAGTCCCATCCCAGCAGGAGCATATCTACCACCAACTAAGTCGTAATCGAAAATCAACTTTTGTTGAACAAGATCGAGATTACCATCATGCCATCCTCTTTGTCCTGTCGTAATTGCCATGGTCAGATATTTTGTTAAGCAGCTGGTGCAAGCTGACCGTGGCTACACCACAAAGGAAATCAAACCTTGTTAGGTAATCATCTTCTTACCACCTACCTCGTGTAGTGAAACCTTGTCAGCATAGGGTAGATAACGCATATGGAAACTTCAACTTTATAGAAACTTGATAATGACAAACGAGTAGAGCTGTGGGGTATAAAATCCTGGGTTCTTCCATATCAGGCACACTTGCTTGAATAAACCCTTGATCTCACAGCTCTGGCTCCTTTCTTTGTTTCAAGGTAAGAAACATTTAAACTTATTCTTGTTTAACTTGTTATTTCTTTGTAATTATCGTCTAGAAAATGTTAGAGTTAGGTTAGAAACATTCCTACAACATTGAAGCACTTTGTCATTTGCAAATGCTAGCTCTAGATAACCGATTAATTATTAGGGCACTACCCAGGGATATTTATTTATGCACATTGCGTCGTGGGCTCCTCAAGTTTATGTTTTTCATGTACAAACGAATATTTCTTTTCTATGTTTCGACACACATGTGTGTATTCCCAGTCTTTGTCTTGTTTTATTCATTTGCGTGTTAGATCTGTATATGCAGGTTAGATTCCCGTTCAGTAGCCTAGATTCTAGTAGCTTAGTCACAAAAACAGTTCCGAGAGTTTATACAATCATTTCCAGCAAAGACGAAGTTTATGTATTTTACTATAGTCCGCCGATCAAATTATAGTCGTGTAGATTTACCTCAGATACGCGCTCACATGATAGGTATAACAGCCAACATTTGTGTTTTGATATTTCACCAACACTATAAGAATTTGAATAATGATGTATTAAACGTTCCGTTCCGCGTGCAGTTGTATACCGTACAAAACAGTTTATACGCGAATCACATTACCGTAATCAGTAGAAAATGGTATTGTCTACTCTTCATATTACCAGAAAATATACATTCAAATCCGTGTAGTTTGCAATTACAGTCTTCGTTCCGTACTTGTTTAGCTCCGTAATTTAAGAAATACGCGTAGCCAATGACAACAGCGCCGTCCTAGTACATTATTACATATTCATTTAACTAAGTTACTGTCTTGTTTTGTAAAGCACAAAATGTAGCACTACAGCATTACATATATTCTAGGTCATGGCTTAACTCCGTATAGGTCGAAATTACACGTTGCCAATAGCAACATCACCGTCGAAATACATTTACCGTAGTCACCCAAATAATTCAGGATGGGACAAAGTAGTACTCTAGCTAAAACTATATCGTCTGTCCCCGTAGTTACACATATTTATATCACTCTCTAGTTCCACTTACCGTATCTACCGAAATTATTGTATTGAGAAAATAAATGTTAACATTACAGTTAGAATGCGTACAGTCAATACCGGAGTTAAATGGTATATGTCAAATCTGAGCACTTCGCGCCGTTTACCGTATTTGCTCAAGGCATGTATGTTGATAACGGAAATTACTTACACAAGTCATAAATCGTTACCGTAGTTAATGCATTAAGCGCGACATACCGTAATAATAGTAAATTCCTACCGTAGTCAATACACTAAGCGCAACATACCATAATAGTCATAAATTCCTACCGTAGTTAACGCAATAGGCACTACATACCGTAATTGTCATAAATCGGTACCGTAGTTAACGCATTAGGCGCGACATAACGTAATAGTCATAAATCCGCACAACAGTTAATGGACTAGGCACTACATGCTGTAATTAAACTGTTGGGCGCTCCACTCAGTACTTGTTCTTTGCAATTGTTGTTGATGATTAATTCATCCGTCAGGTTATGTTATTTATCAGTACCGTAGTTACTCAAGAAAATGTTATTATTTGTATTATGTTTCTGTAAGCAGTTACCGTACATACCCTGTTGTACCACACATTGCTTATATTACCGGACTTAGATATAAACTGTATTAGGATATCATTGATTATTATTTCTATTATTGTATGTCATTATTATGTATGAACTGATGTATATTGAATGTCATGCAAGGACACTTGCTTGAATAAACCCTGGATCTCACAGCTCTGGCTCCTTTCTTGTTTCAAGGTTTCAAGGCTTGCTCCCTATAGCTAATTCCCCAAATCGAGGCCTGACAGCACCTTTAGCACACATAGCGCTAAAGGTCGTCCTAACAGACCATAAGGCTGTCTTAATTGGTGGAGACGTTCGATCCTCGATGCCTGGAGCCAACCCTGAAAACTACAAGTTGAGACTGCGCAGTTTCTGTGAGAAGTTCCAAACACCTAAGCCCCCAACACCATCTCCACAGCCCAATACAACAACACTATGTCAGACGACACCATCACCCACTTTATCAACGGATGAGACAAGGTCAGACATCACATCACAGACCCTTGACAGTTCGCCTCAATGCAACCAGCAACATCCCACAACAAAGGCGCAAGTACACCTTCCAAAATACAATGGACAACAGGATGCTGAAAGTTGGTGGGCAGATTTTGCCAACTTTAACATCCTCCATGGACATTCAGACTACATTTCCTGTAGAATTCTGCCATTCTACTTGGACGATGCTGCAAAGGTATGGTTTCTCTGCCTGCCTGAAACCACACAACGCGACATGCAGTCACTGAAGGCAGCCTTCAAACAACGTTTTCGGCGTTCCTTTGACGTGGGTCTTCTACACATGGCACAGAAGGAGCAGGAAACGACAGAAGACTACATCACCAGGGTGCAATCATCCATGTTGCACTCCACATTGCCACAATCTGTGATAGTAGCTATTGCAATCAATGGGCTACTCCCACAGATTAAGCAGTGGGTGTACACGAAGGAGCCAGCAACCCTGGACGAGGTTCGCCACCAGGCACAGCTGGCTGCACAGTCGCAGGCTCCCAGCACAGCAGAGGTCAGCCTGGTCCAACAAGTTGAACAATTAACAAACTTGGTGGCCATGCTGATCACAACAAACAGGGCCTGTGCTGTACAGTCAGCAACTCCTTCAACTGGTCTACAGCAGCAAGAGCCTTGGGAACACCACCACAGACAACAGACACCCCCATTGCCACCACACAGCACAGCAACAGCAGCCACCACCAACCACCGGTACCACACCAACAGCAGCAGTACCAACTACCACCACA